TTCAAAAATGCACAAAATTGCATGAAGTCATTTGGCTTAAACCATATGCATATTGATTATGTGTTTAGTTTGACCCATGATGCGAGTTCTCTACGTCTTTTCTTATGTAGTCTAACAAAAATGCAGCATTGAGACAAATTGCAGTTGAGAAAAATTCATTAATATTAATTAATTTGTTATTTACTCAAGGGTTGTTGCGAATTTACCAGAATCTCACTAGTCCAAAAGTACAACTGTGAGCTAACCAGGCTACTATTTTCTCCACTAGGCAATGTGACGTTAGATGGACTCATGACAAGTCTCATCAGTGCTGTGGATGTATTTTCTGAACATCAACAATCTGAAATCAGGGAAGAGGTATGAATCAAAAAATAATAATTCACAACAAGATATTGCTCAGCAATGTAACAAAGTTGTTGTGTGCATATCAGGGCAAGTTTATTGCTATTATTGTATGCTGAAAACATCAACTACTTATTGTTATTTACTTTTTGTTTTTAGTGATGTTCATATGATCATTGAAAGAGGGACCACCCACACGAAATTTCATTGCAACTGTACTGTATAGTGTTACAGAAACATGTTATTTTGTTGTCACTGAGTAGTTGTTGCAAATTACTAGATAGTTCTATGACATGTTGATACATTTCATTTGATTCTGTGCATTAATCCATGTGATAACACCCAAACCTTTTCCTCTTGTAGGCTGAACGAGAAGCTAGAGAAACTATGAAAAAGGAACAAGATGAGGCATACCAAGAATCATTACTAGCTGATAGAGCTAAGGTATACTTTTAACACATTGCCTACCGTGCCACCACTCACTGCTATTCTACTTTCAAAATAAATTGTCTCACTGGAAAGATACACATCAAGTCTGTGGTGTCACTGTGCTTTCAACAATTTTGTCAAAAGTTTTTGAGAAATCATAAATTTGAATAAATAATTACTAATTTAAAAAGAAAAATATAAACCAGCATACAGATTTATCATAGTTGAGGATTGTATCTACGTCATGTAGATTTTCAGCAATTATGATCATCTTTTTACACATAATCCAGCCTTTTCTTTGGGATGTCAGGTGTTTAGCCCATAAGAGATCACTTTAAAAAAGTACAAATAGTGAATTATTTTTAGTGAAATTCTATTGACCACACTGAACCATTACAGGAGGAGGCAAGGAAAGCTGTGGAAGAACAAAAACTAAGAACAGAGAGAGAAAAGTCAGAATTGGAAGCAGAAAAAGAGGTATGCTGTGATTGAAATGTTCAGTACAAATTTGCCACAAATAGTGCATATTCATGCTGATTTTGAAGTGCAACCTCAGTATAAAAATTACCCATTTATGCAACTACAAGAGGTTGCACTTATTTACATTTTGGGCAGATGTACAGTGGCTAGTTGGCAAGAACCGGTCATGCATTCGCACCCCAAGATAAAATAATGTTGCTGTTATCAAATATGCACATGTTCAGATTAATAAATTAAAACAACTTAGCGGCAATGCCGTCTCAGCTGATTGCAAGCTAATGCTGATCAGTCTGTGACGTGATATCACAATGTGACAATGCTTATAGCCTGATGAGATGTGAGAAATAATGATTAAAATTTTCACTTACACACAATATTTTTTGTTGTAGGCAATAAGGATGTCGTTGGAGGACTCGCTACCAGATGAACCTGCAGAAGACTGTACAGAGCCTATCATCACTATTCGTGTTAAACTACCCAATGGCCAGAATGTTACAAGAAGGTTTCTGGCACAAAATCCATTGCAAATTTTACTAAATTATGTAGCGTCTGTTGGCTATCATATGGACGAATACAAAGTACTCACTAATTGGCCAAGGCGAGATGTAAGTATTGCTCTCCATAAATGATATATTTGATACAATAAGAGGACGCGACCTTTAGAATAACTCATATCTGCAGTTTTCACCGTGGAGTTTATAGGTGTCCACTTTGGCTATACCATGATTAAAAAAGAACTTATGTAGCGACAAAAAACTATTGCAGTGATAGCGGTAATCTGCTCCCACCACCAAAGATTGTGCATCGTTAGTTTCTATGCATCCATCTATCCACTTGTTATTTAATTACAGCAAGTCTAAGAAGTATTGGGGCAGCCAATTTGCAAACTCGCTAGCGAATTGGCTAACTGCTTTGGTTTTGACTAAACGGTTGGCTTTCGAATCTCGCTGGCGCCGGCTTGTGATCGCGTCCACTCTTGGCAAGTCTATATTGCATTAGGGGACATAGAATGTTTTTACGCAGCCTGGTACATGTCTGGATTCCCCTGAATGATTTGAGCCCGAAACTGGTCACAGTCAGCTAGCGTACAAGTGATGATATGATAAATACGATTAATCCACCGTGACCGATATTCATTATATGAGGGTAACCATCTTGAACACTGCTTGAAACTAAATAGATAAGTTGAGAAACAGTTTCCTACAAATCGGGGAGAAAATAACAAACTTTCATACTCAAATGATCCGTTGGGGTAACATTAAGCCAACCGCTGGAAAAATCGACCTCATTTGTCGTTTTTGTGTGGACATGAAGAGCATAGAACACTTTCCCTGGTACCGTATTTATCCGGGTATAAGCCCAGGGTCCTGAACATGGAAAATTGCCAAAAAGAAGGGGTGGGCGTTTGCCAGGAGATCCCCGGCAAAAAAAACGAAAATTCGCAAAAATTGACAACACGCAGATCGAACTGCGACAGGGAATAGAACGGCAAATCACAGTTCCTCTATCACAGGGACAGTGGGCAAATGAAAACATACAACGAAAATAAATGAACAATATGCAACACTAGAAGTAAAAAAAAAAATACAGTACTGCGTATAATGTGACAAATAAACCAGAAATAATAAAAATCGACAGTGAGAAATCATTTGAATTAGGATTTTCCCGCCGACAAACACGCCCAATACGCGCAATACCGTCATAGAAGATCAATAATAATTTACAAATTTACACAGTAAAAATTATAAAAATTCATAGCTGCTTGAAAAAACTTCTCAGATCTTTATTTGTACGTTCATTGCCATCTTCGTCAAACTCAAAACCCTCAAATGTCCAAGTCGGCGTCACTGTAGCCGTCGAACAAAATCCCTACAACTTATTCCTGAAGTTCGTCGATATCG